ACCGTTGTTCCTGAGGGAAAGGAGTGCTCACAGCTCTGCAGGAATCAGCCTTCGACAGGTTGAGCAAGCCAAGCTGGTGGGATAGGACCGCCCTCACTGGGAAAGCAAGGAGAGAAAATTCCTTCTCAGGCTCAATTAACAAGCATTTTAAGGCTTTCTGCCCATCACTTTTTAAGTAACATACCGTTACAATTTGTCGATCATATCAATGTTCTAATGCTATTTTAAAGGCATATTTTCTTTTTGACATGCTATCCATTTATCTGTCTACATTTTTCTCTAACTAGGGTCACACACCTCACGTATTAAGCTTTTTTAGCACATGATGCTGCATATGATACATAATTACCCACTGAATACAGGAGATAGGTCATGAAGGGAAGATGGATCAGTTCAAACCGGTTCAGAATTGCCCTATGCTAGTCATTTTCTTCTGTTGGTTATTTTATTGCTACAGTCTTAATGTTGCTTGAACGCACACTTCTAATGTATTAATTGCTAGGAAGAACTCTGTAAGGGACTCTAGTTACCATCATATCTTCCAAGTAAATCATTAGTGAATATGCTCTGGCACATATTTGCAACTGTATTCTTCAGCAACTGTTCTTGGTAAGGAAAAAATCCCCAGCATATCTTAAAAAAAATCACTTTGCATTTCAAGCTAGGAAATCTCTCTACGTTCCATCTGACTTATGGATTGTGAAAAGCTACCGTAGTGAAAAACAAATCGTTGGATACATATCACATCGAAGGTTTTTATGATATATCACTCAGCATGGAGCCTGGTTTGATTTACTTTGCACCCAAGCAAAAGAAACTGAAATGAAAATAGTGCTTTTCCATTCCTTGTATTCCCTGCAATATTCTGCCATCCTTTGGAAGGTAAAGCATGTCATGAAGTCACTGTAGGCTTGCATTCAATAACTGATGGCAGGATAAAGCCCTGCTGTCTAGGTGCATAGTACATAGCAGCACAGGTAGAACTAAATGTCTCATTTCTCAGTTCATACCCAATTCAGAGAGAATTGTGGATCCTCCTGCCTTACAGAAGAGGCCAGGACGCTAAGGGGGAGAACAGCCTCTCCCTGTGCACTAACCCCTGCTCTGGTTTAGAGACACCAAGGACCTGCTGTGATTCAGCTGGGAGTGTAACAAGTACTACAGTACTAGGCAAATTACTCACTGACTGACATTTGGGAGCCTATAAAATGTTAGAGAATATTCAAAATTATGCAAATGAATATTTTCATACAGTATATTTGGTTGTATTCCTGGCCTGTATTATTTTCATGGGTTGGATACCGCCATCTCCAGCAGATATTCAGTCCTTAAAAGGGGCTGGCTTTTATTTTATTCTATTTATTCTTCTGCCATCTATTATTCTAAAGAGATGTAATGGATCAGCCCAGATACCTTTCACATTGTGAGGAAAGGGAAGGAAATAGCCTGAAAATCATCTACAGTTCATCACTGAGCTGATAGTTGTGGAGATAAAAACTTATTCCACAGCATTTTTACCTTGTGATTTGGATTCCACGAGGTAACAATCAGCTTCAAAAATCTCATTGTGACACTGCTTTCAAAGTCAAATAAAGAGTGTCAATGAGAACACACCACCCCCCAAGTGGCTCCCCTCCAGCTTCATAACCCCAATTTATTTTTGACATTGCACCATAAGACTGAAATGATTAATCTATAATAGATTATCTCACAAATCTGCTACAGAAGAACAGAGGATGTGATTTGCTCAGGATTTGGCACACTGGCAATGGCATGTCACGGCGAAGGGTTTAATGAATACGGTACAACAGAAAAACAAGATGGGGAGAAGCGTGGGCTATTGGAAAGGGACTTTCACACAGTGCGAGGGAACCCACTTTCCAGCAGTCGCATTGACCACTGACCACTTGACTTACCGCTAATATTTGAGCACATGATTTCCATCAGCTTTCCAGAAAGACTTCTCCAAGTTTAGATGTTCAACACAACCTGCTTTGAGCTTGCATTTCAGAGGTGCTAAGTACCTATAAAATAGAAACAGAGGTGTTTACCCCACCTTTGAGGTTGCCCTATGGGGTCACAGGATGTGTGTCACAGAAGTGCAAAGTGTAGTTATTTGTGAGAGGTGTTGAATGCTCATTTCGGAGAGTAAAGGATGTTTGTGTGGAACCTGCTGCATAATTTATTGTACTGTGAAATATTTACCATTTCTGCCCATGGAATCCAGTTAAAAAGGGCAAGCATATTTTTTTTCTGGGACATAAATACCTCTTGTACCAAACTTAGAAGCCAAAAGCTATCAAAACAAAATTAGATTAATGTCTAAATTGACAAGCAGCATTTTCTGGTGACACTGAAAACATTAGCCAGTTAGAGAAAGTTATTGCCCTTTTCTCTCATTTTAAACATTGCTTAGGAACATGAGAAACTTGAGAAAAAATTCTCTCTCACCTGTCTGACCTTGGCCAAATGCTGAAGAGCAATCATCCACCTGAGAGCAGGACACTGCAGATAGAAGGCAGAGTAAAGCATGGTTGTACTGCTACTGCCATTCAATGACACCTTCCTGCTGCTAAATCTCTAATTCTCTTTTTGCAGTATCTCACTATTTACTAAGTAGCCTGAGATAAATATGGTGCTCCATTTCCACTATCTTCAGGGAGATTTACCTGCCAATCCAGGCTGTCCTTTCTGGCATCAGAAGTTGAACAAAGTTCTCCTCGTAGTAACTGAGTTTATTAGTCTGCAGTGCCCCTTCCCTTGACCTGCTGGGACTTCTCTCTTGCTAGTGCTTCTGTCAGTCCTTGGCCTTCTCCGTGGGGCCAGCGAAGGTCTCAGTCTCCAGACACTTAGGCCAAAACCAAGACTAATAATTCATTTTGTGTGCACCATCAAGCAGCAGTTGTCTTTAAACTGTTGACCCAAGGCAAAGGTGCAGGTCAGTGGTATCTCTCATGGAAGTACAGGAGGATGGTGGCAGTCTGTAAAACAAAACAAAACCCCACAGACAGGCATCAGGCTAGAAGGTGTCTGAAATGGCTCTGGGGCCAGTGAACTGCCCCATGAGCCAGCACTGTCCATGGACAGCTGTGACAGACAACATCAAGACACCTGTATGCTGTTATCTCCACAGTCCATCAAATGGAGATGTTAATAGTTTCATAACAGCTATTTCTTTGTGCCAAAGGTGTGGGGTTTCTTTGGTTTTGTATCTGCATGTGCATGTGTGGGTGATGGCAACTTTTCCCCTTTTATCTAACAGCCTAACAGACTGAAGCCTGTCTGAGTAGTGCTGACAGGATCCAGCTTCTGTAGTAATGTACAATGTAGCAATGCACAACACAGGAAAGTAAGCAAACCCAGGAAAATAGGAGTGCTGCTGCCACAAATCCTGGGGAGCTTAAATTTAAATCCCTCCCCTTCCCTCTGTTCAGGCCGTGTTCCTCCTCAGAGACATCAGGAATTGGGTCTTACCCTCACGCTCACCCAAGGTCCAGGAACAGGTTCCACTTCTCTCTGCTGTGCCACCCCAGCTGGGAAGTGAGTTATACATTGAGAGTTATGTGGGATTTTTGACTTGGTTAACAGCAAAGGCAGCATTAACAGATAAAATTTAGAGGGGAAAAAATTTGCCTGCCAAACAGTACTTAAAGCTTTTGGGGAATTGATGCAAGTGGTTCAGCTTGATGCAAATTTCTTTCCAATCCATTTTATGAGCTTTGTTACATATTGTCTCCATCTCCACTTCCAGGCACTCCTGACCACAAGCTGAGGTCTCACCTGCAGACCGGGGTGGTGGGTGCCCAGTGGGAGTGATTGTCATGGATCTTAAATTTACTATATAGGGTTTCACACCTCCAGTGGGAAGTATCAGGGGTCTTACCATCACAGAGGGCTGAAAGCATGTGCCTCAAAACAGGAGTCAGGGCAGGCCTGTGTTGTGGGTCTGGCTCAGAAAGTGGAAGGCAGCAGGGCTTCATTCCTGGCTATGCAAAGGTCTGAAATCAGGCCCTGCCTCATGCCTTCCTTCCCATCCGCAGCACCACTGAAGAGCTGTTGTGCTGAGGAGCTGCTTAACTCCTTTCATGCTTTGCGGTCATATAATTGCCAGTTAAACACAAACCCACAGAAGTGGACATGAAAAGCCAGCATGCAGACCCTGGTCCCAGCTGGCCTGAGAGTCCATGTATCGCTTTACCACTGCTGCTTCGAGCTCTGGAGTGCAGGTGAGCAGCAACGCTAGTCGTCCTCTGCAACCTGCTGCCCTGGGCCTGTGAGTCCAAGGACTCCAGGTCTCCGCTGTAAGGAAGGATGGTCTATTTTCCAAAGAGATAGTCTGAGATTGACTGGGTCTTTCCAGAGTCCATGGTGTTTTTTTTTTTGTTTGTTTTTTTTTTTTTTTTGTTTGTTTTTTTTTTTTTTTTGTTTTTTTTTTTGTTTGTTTGTTTGTTTGTTTTGTTTTCTTTTTTTTTGTTTGTTTGTTTGTTTGGTTGGTTGGTTGTTTTTTTTGTGAAAGCCAATAATCATAGGAAGAGAGCAGTTGGATGAACCGTAATTTACTACCATGGACTCCCCTTGCCTGTGTATTTCTAAAGGTAACAACCATAGACGCTGAGATGGCTGCAATTTGGACAAAACAAATGTAACAGTAATAACAGGACGTAGCTGGAACAAACCTGTCAAAGTTCATAAACAAACACTCATCCATTTAATCACTAATTATTAATCCAATTCTGATCTTCAGTTACTCAAAATAAGTTGTTTAAAAAATGTGAGATTTGTTAGTCTAAAGCCATGTTAAAACATGTGTCCAAAAGTAATGCATTGGTTTACTGTGGCACAATCCATCCGTTATTACAAGAAAATTAGGACAGGAAAAATAAACCTTATCCCATGGAATCAGCCATATGAGAGAAGAATCCTTTTGAAACTCTCCCCCAGAAATCCCAACCTCAGTGCTTAAGGAGGCAGACAAGTGTTGATGAGCAGGAGTGCAGCCTTCACCATATTCCTGCCCTGTAAAGCAGCAGAATTACAAAATAGATGGGCATGAAAGAAATTATAGATTTGCCGCAGATATCGGCTGCTTAGTGCCTAAAAATTTAGTTTAAGGGGCCTCTCAATCTGTGTATGGAAATGAGTCAAGAGCAAAAGCACTTCTGACTTGCTTGAAGATTTTTAGCATCATCTCAACTCTTACAGAAATTAAAACCTTTCCTAGCTAATAATTTTGTATTCTTGGATTTTAGTTATTTTTTTAATTAAAATGGTATGTATTTCAAATTTGTCAAATAACTGGACAAAGCAGTGTTAAAAATTCAACTGCACTAATTACTAGTTGAGCAGCATAAAAACCTCTGAATAAATGTCAGTCTAGGAGATAAGCTCTTATCTTAATCTAATGACTCCATAGACTTAATTTGTCAGGCCAGCCTAGTTGATGAAAAACAGGTTTCTATTCTCCAGTGTTAGCAGCCACATCTTTCCAAATCTTTGAAGTTGGATAGTAATACCATCAGTGTCATCCTGCAAAAATCTTGTGACCAAGCCAATTTCATTCCTATTGTCTTGTTATACTAATTAAAGTTGTTTTACCCCCATTGGTCTGAAGTAGGTGAAAATGAAGCCAATTTATTTTTAGATTTGTTACATTCTGGAATAATCATTCCTGCTTTTCCCCCCCCCCCCACTCTCAACAATGTGTTAACATTTGCAGCACTCTGTTGGTGTCAGAAACCTGGGCTTTTTAGCAGGGCTCCACAGACAGCACAGTGCTATCCCATGGCAATTCCTACAGTGCAGACAAAGCATGCAGGTGTGTGTGTGTGTGCAATTCTGAGCTCAGGAAGTGAACTTGATCTTAAGAGATGATTTTAGATTTTGGAAGTTCTTTCCTAAAGGACCATTTGACATATTTAAAGCTAAATGAACCAAATGTTCATATTGTTTGGACAAAGTGGATTAACAAATAGAAAAAAATAAATTGTCTGCAGTCAGTGTTTCCAGTCCTCCAGTTTAACCTTCTGACGGCAACCTGGCAGGCCTTTTTATGCACAGTGCCCCATTTCAAAGAATACCATTTAAGTACAGTATTCTTTATCCCAATCCCAATATTTAAACAGGGATATGCTTAGGTTTGAGGAGTTACTTGGGAGGTGAATTTTATTCTGATGATACTGAGGAAGATTACAAGGTAAAAAAACTCAAGGAAAATAACAGGGTTAAGGTGCAATCTACTGAGGCAAATCAGAGAGGCCAGGGGTCAGTCCTGCCTGCTGCTCTAGACTCTGTTGACATTAACATTATTAACTTTATCGACATTAAATATATTGAGCTGGATACTTACTCTGTTGCATTGGGTTTTATGGCAGTGCAACTCCACTGACTTCAGCAGCATTTCACTGGCATACAACCAGTAGAACAGAGTGGAGAATCAGCCACCTTTTCTAGTATTACTTCAAAATCCCTGATGTCCAGAGCTGATGGCTCTGAGGTCCCTCTTCTCCCCAGGCCGGCAGGAGTGCAGGGTCAGAAGCAGCAACACATGTGTGCAGCACTGGTCATTCTGGGATTTGTTCTTAAGAAGCATTTCACCGCCTGGTTGTGAGCACTTTCCTGCATAATACGGAGTTAACTGGTTAGATCACAAATGTTCTCCCTCTTGGGTCATGTGCTGTCATATCTTCTAGAGTATTCAGGAGCTGGCCCACTTACATTTGCTGTTGCAAAGGCTCGTGTGTGAGCACGGACACCTAGTTCAGCATCTGGGTCCTGCTGGGTGTAACGTGAGTTGCGTGCCAACACTGCAGCAGTCAAAGCCTTTGAGCCCATGCATGCAGGCCATGCTGCCTAGCAGGGCTTCTTCACCTGAGGCAGTGCAGATCCAAGACAGGGAACACAGAGAGGCTGGGAAGCAGAGTGGGAAGCTTCACATCTGCAAAACCTTTAAATCGGAAAATGTAATTACCCCAGCTTGATTGGGTTCTGCATCTGATGTATACAATGGCATTTTCCAGCATCCTAGCTAGCACATCACTGCTTATGGAATTTTCCTATCAGTTGAGGTGCATAATACATTTTTCTTCCATTTTTACCCACAGTTATGCAAAGGAGCAGAGGTTGCAGAATAGTGAAGTGTAAAGTGCTTGTGGATCCAAATGCGACCTGGAAGGACAGGGCTGCTGGATAAATTAGAGGCAGATTTTCACAGATATTTGAGTATCTCCGGATTCAGATCAGTGTTTTCTTCAGATTTTTAAAGCTTCCAGGCCCCCTGTTGACACTAGGAGTCGGGAATACATGGGCTTTTGAAAATCCCAGAGCCTGAAACATATTCAAGCACTCTTGCATGTTGCTTCCTCAGATCAAGACAACTAAACTCTTTGAAAGCATTGGGCTGCTGTCGGTACCTATCTGACCTTCTAAACACTAGTAACCATTTGCATGGTCTGCAAGCTTGAGGCCTCATCTGACCAAAGCTTAAATTATATCCATTGATTTCATCATGGAATTGATGGTCCACTCCCGAACATGCCAAATTCGTTTATGTTAGGGCTATAGCCTAGAATGGCATTTTTTAGTAAGAATTAATGGATCCTCATTTCTCCCGCTCAGAGTCAGAGTTTAAACCTACAGGCCATTCCCAACACAGCTGAAACAAAATGAACATACTGAAGTGAAATTTTCAAACTGACATTTGAATCCCCTCTTTGATGAAATGCCACCTATTGATCCAGCCCAATGACTGCAGCCTCCATGGGTCCATCTCGCAAAGTCTCCTTGACTGGCTTATTACTGCAATTCTTCAGGTGCACTGTGACCATCTTCCAACAAAGGACAGATGCCAGCTAACCAAATGGCAAAATGAAAACTCCCAGAGATTAAATCCTAGTCCTGGTGGCAAAATTCCCATGGAAATCAGTGGCTACATGTATCTTAGGACATTATTTCATAAAGTCTGAATTGCCATTTGAACACTGACTTCCTGATTTACGCTGGGGGTTTGACTTGGAATAAATTTATTGCCCTTTCCTCAGTAGCTTGAGCATTGAAGGGCTTGGCTCACATGGGAGCCATTTCACTAAGGGTGGTGTAGTGGCTGGCTTGGGTCAGACTGTCCATGCTCCAGGAGACTTTGTGGTTTCATGGCTCCCTTTGCTCCTTCTATACCACCCACCACTTTCTCATATCATCCTGCTACAAAAAATTTACCTGCTCTGGTCTGCAAAGGAGCTCTGCTGTTTCTGGACTGCTACCTACAAGAACAACTTGGGGTGCTGAGGAAAACTAAATCCTTGTGAAGGAACAAAACTGCGTCCTTTGTGGAAAAATGTTGTGATTCTTAATTGGAGGGCTGTGGATCCAGATCAGTTTTCCTAGCAAAGGGGAGTAACTCTAATCTAAATACAAAAAGGAGTTTGTCATGGCAAGACAGAAAAGTATGAGGTTAGCTGTTAGGTTCAAGATTGGTCTTGAAGTATAGTGCTGACAAGCCAATAATGAGCTAAGGCCCATGGTGAGGGCTGCAACAAGCTGGGGCCACTTGGCTTGGCTAACTGAAGTCCAAATACTGGCACCACTGCTGGAGGCAGCACAAGCATAGTCAAAAGGAGCAGGATTTTTTTCTCGATTTGCAAATAGAGTATCACAGTTCATACGCCTTGTGTGTGGGTATGTGGCAGCGTGTGTTAATGCACATGCCTTGCCTTTAAATGGTCTCTGACTATAAAAGTTAATAGCTTTGATGCGGCATTCCTAAAAGGAAGTGTTTGTCAATTTTGCTATAAGTGTTTGAGCGCAACAGTCTTAATTCAATGTGTCAGATAAGAGAAAATCATGTTGGCTTATATTTATGATTTATCCCTTCTATCTTAGCACTAGAGATGTTTGGAGAGCAAACTAACCCTTTAGTTCATGTTTTGATTTGCTTTGTTTTTTTTTATCCATCTAAGCCTCGCCAGGCAACGTAACACTTCTATACCAGTGTCAAATCTCCTGGGGAATGGGTAGGGAGACATATCTGGAAGGCACTGAGGTGGTACTTTTGATAAGTCACAGTTTGTGTGACTTGAAGGGGAGGGCAGAGATTTGAAGCTAGGCAAGAAATGAAGACAAGTTCATGATGGATAACTGAAGCCCATGCTACGGCACAGGTCAAGGAGAGCCATACTGCCACACCCGGGGAAGCACTGATGCCTGCTATTTCATGTGGCCCTTGGACATATTCAGGATTCTTGAGCTGAGACTGGGAAAAGGATAAGCCTGGACCCTCAAGTTACTAACAGAACCACAGAAAAGCAAAGAAACTTGTAGTGAATATGGAAAAGGCCAGAATGCAAGCTATTTGTTCCAAGGTAAAAGGGACCAGATCTTCTCAGAAATTTGGATGCTTAAGTGTCTTTGTTTAAGATCCTGCCCAAAATGCCTTTGATGACCTGGGACAATATGGGTGGTGTCTCTTATACCTACAGGTTGGTTACCAACTCTCCAGTAGCACCAAAACAAACAGAAGAACTGGATGTACCGTTTTGGTAATTCTACCATCTGGTCATGATGGCTTTTTGAGATTGTTAAATGCATGGGGCCAAAGTGAGTAGAAAACTTCTTGGGTTAACCTCAGCTGTTCCAAAACATGCTACATGGTGATTTAGAATGGCTGCTGAAATGTTTGTGTTATGTTCTTGCTTTTTTAGTAGTACTGTGCACGACAGAGAGTGAACAGCTTTGTGGAGATAGTGTTGGCTTCCTCCATGTGGGATGCCTTTTCATTTTGGCCTTGGTAAGTGCACACCAAAGATTTTCCACTTCTGTTTCAAAGGGAATCTCCACCCACCCCCAAGTACCAATAACTATTTCCCCCTGGTCTTCACAAGCTGTTATGGGCTTAAATGCCTTCCCTGCACTCTTTGGGAGAAGAGAGAGATAACAGAGGGAGCAGTAGAGCTACACTCATTCTTGGGACTAACAGTAAAGATACCCAGTTAAATGACTTAGTGGGGGGCCTCAGATTTTCTTGCAGAGTCCTGTGTGTCTTTTCTCGCGATCAAAGCGACTGTGAGAAATTGCAGTTTTCAATTCATTTTTTCCATATGGGAAAGAGGATGGCTTTATGCAATAGCTGTTTAAAAATACTTCAAAAGAACTTGAATCAGTCCATGGCCGCACTATATACAAATTAAAATAATTGATTTTTGGTAGCCTTTTAGGAGATCTATAAATTAAAGGGATCACATATCTGATACATTTTGGGGGACTTTATTTTATGTTGGCTTTCAGAATGCCCTCTCTCCCAGAGCTGGAAGCCAGACACCAAAACCAGAGAGAGCTTCTCACTTTCATTTGCTCTGCCCTCCTGTCATAGGACTCACTGGGTCTCCTTGAGGAGTGCCAGTGATCATAGTGGGTCCTGGACCCATGCCAGGTCTGCACCTTTCCCTTTCATTTTTGATTTGAGAACTTTACATTGAGAAGTAGAAACTGCCCCAAACTGAACAAGAACCACCCCTCTGGGGAGTTAATTTCTCCCCCTTTTTCTCCATCAGTAGAAACTGATACCCTTACCCAGTTTGTGTTGCACCTGGGCTGTCCCCGTTCTGTGCGCTGATGGCAATGGGTTCAGCTCTATCTGTGATGACCTAAAAATAGCACTCAATTAACATTGCATTTCAAGAATTGGAAAATTTCCCAGAAGTCCATTCTTTTTTTTCTTTTTCTGTTTCATTACATTTTACAGTAATAATACACAAGCCTGTAGAAAACATGACGGGTAATGAAAAAATGTAATTAATATAAGCAGTGTAAAGCATTTTTTTTCCCTCTGTTGTCCTTGCAGAAAATTACTGCTTTAAACTGAGCAGGATGTGAAAATGCATAAAGCAAACAGTAATATGCTGTGGTTTGTAAATATCTTATGCAAAATAGTTAAGTCAACTGCTGTTTATTTTTCTTACTTTGTGTCACAAGCTCTTACTTTCTTTTGTTCATTACTTTTTCCATTTGTTCTCTTTTGGGGGCTTGTTCTCTTTTGTCTTAAGGAAGCCATTGGCTTAACTATATTTATTTCTGCTACAGCTAATTCAATCAAACATATAGGACAGGCTATTCTGTCTCTTCTTACCATCTTCTCCTGTTTGCTGGTGGCTCTGAAATGCAACATATACTGCAAAAGTGTAGTAAGCCAGGTCCTCACTATACTGAGGATCTGCTCTCATTGTTTTGGGCTTAAAAAAAAAAAAAAAAAAAGGAAAGCACCCTTTTATCCTACAAACAAACAAGTAATTATCCCAAATCCTGCAATAGCTTTATGACAAACTGTAGCATTCCTGACTGTTACTGTAGGCTTCTGCAATGTTTTTACAAGGCTGCCTGGTCACAGTTCTGGAATGGGCTGTGAGCAATACGCAGTCAACATTAACTAGGATGGCATGGTATATGCCAGCTCTCCTTGGGATATTTCTCTCTGGCTATCTGTAGAACTTGTAATACCCAGCGATATCTGAAGGTCACAGCAGAGTTTCTGAGCTGAAATACAAAACAGCATTCCAAACACATCTTCTGTGGCCAGACAAGAAACTGCTTATGGTTTATTATCCCTCCCCCCTCTCCGCAGCTGACATCCAGCATTAGTTATTGTTTATTTTTGTCTTGTTCCTGGTTCTAAAGGTTTCCCTTATGGCCCTGGTTTATGTGAACTTTCAGATATCACTTGGGGCTTCTCTGCCTCATCCCCTCTGATGTAGCTGGTTCCCCTGTGAAGGTAGGTTTCCCCAGCTGAAGATCTGTGCCTCTCTCCTGTGGCATTCTGTGCAGCCATTTGGAGTCCCAGATGTAGGAAATGAAATAATCCACGCTCATACAGTCATGAAAGTGCCCATCTGGCACACAGGAACATCACGCATTGGAAGCACACAAGCGTGAGCTCACTTTTGTTATGGCATTTCATAAACAGAGATGCAGCGAGCCAGCAAGTAAGGTCCTTTGGATAATAACAATCGTTTCCACCACACGTTGTGTTTAAAAAATAGGGAAAAAAAAGATCAAGACAAACTGGAAAGATTTGCTCTGAAGCTTCTGAGGAGAAATTTCTAGTTATAAACATTTTTTTACCAGTGGCCTGCTGTACTTACACCTCTCTGGCTCTCTCCTGCTCTCTATGTAGATGTAAGACAATGGTGACAGTTGAAACGTAGCCAGTTAACTCTTCGTTAGCTCTGAAAGCTCTTCTTCCTCACTGTTCAGTTAAAGAAAGGAAATATTAGATCATACCTACAAAAGTGAGTTCTATAAAAACAAATTGCATGTTACTGCTTTCTTATCACTACATAAAACTCACAGAAACGGTCTAATAAATGACCTCACCACTCAATTTTGAAGTATACAAATTAAAGACAGCAACAGATAAGCCAAGAGAGATTAATGTACAGTGTGCGCGCCTGTATGTGTGTGTTTGCATGCCTCTATGAGGATATACTCATATGCTGTTGACATTCAACCTCTGGAATTATAATTAGGGGAAGAGGCAGATGTGTAAATTCATCTTGCTGGGCAGCGTATATATGTTGCACTAGTCCCTGATTAATTCAGGATTTGAACACTATTTACTCCAAGACACAAGGTTTCTGTTGGGATATGTTGGCTAATAAAGGGGTGGAATATGAGGAAACAATGAACAGCCTGAAATGATGGACTAAATTCAATACCAGTAAGTAAAAATCAAGGTTATTTATATTATTTTAGCTCTGTAAAGTAATTGAAAAAAGACACCCTAGGCATTTTGTTGGATGTCATTGCATGCTGTGAAGAAATCTTGGGATGTATTAAACTTCTCAAAAAAAACACCATTAGCCCTTCTGACAGTGCTGGATCTTCAGAGGGATTGGTCCTCAAAGGGGTGAGATTTTTAAGATGAGGAAAGAGCAGAGAGAGGTGTCAGGTCTCCTGAATCACTGCTGGAAAACCATGCCCATTTCCAAGTGGGGGCCTGGGCCTGCCAGGGGCAGGGGCAGGGGCAGGGGCATGCCACTCCATGGTTTATGAACATTATAAATTATGGATAATAGTAAAAGAAAATAGTCTCTGCATTTTACATGAGCCATTTTTGTATTGTATTTGGCAAACAATATCTGGTCCAGTATATTTTAAATACTGAGTGCTAAGTTGGGAAAACAATGAGATGTTTGTAAATATGATAGACCATTACAATATACTGCTTCTCATTTGAAAAGTCATTTGTGCAAGAAATGATTATTGACCCATGATATGTAAATGACTGAAATGCAGAAATTAATATTTGGGTCAACTCATGTATTTTTCAACCATGAAATGAAAAGCTCAGTATTCACATTCCAATTCATACATGAAAGCATTACAGCACTATTACTTGGCTATTGTATTAATTTCTTATTGTCTTAGTTAATGATATACAGAATTATATCTCTACTTTCAAATGAGGAAAAGGCATTGCTATACCGCAGTAACGTTTCAGCCCGGGAACGTCCCTTATTCTGGACTTTTCTTGTACTGGTCACAATAAGCCAAATTCACAGCTGATGGAAGCAAATAAACAGCACTGCTTGCATTAAAGAGGTCTTGGCCCTAATATACCTTAAATGTTGCACAGGAAGGACTAGCTCCTGCATTGCAGCTCCTCTGTTCCAACTTGGCTTGATTCTTATCTCCTTCATGGGAGCTTTACACCAGCATGATGCTCCTTATTTGCTGCAATTAATACAGAAAAATAAATCAGCACAGGATCAGTGCTTTTAGTACTGTGAGGTAGTTGTCTTTAGTCTCTCATTCTAAGGGGTTTTGTTTCTGCTCCCCCCTCCTCTCTCCCTGAGCCATGGGGAAGTCAGTGGGAGTGTGGGGTTTCTAATAGCACTGGTGGGAGTTCACATTTGTCCCAAGGGAGTCACAACAGGCCCCTCAGCCCAAGGTGACTTTCATTACAGTGAATTTAGTGCTCATGAGACTTTCCGGTTTGTTAGCCCCAGAGACTCAGGAGCTATCTTTCTCCCTAAAAGGAGTATTCCAAGATCTGGAGCAGCAGTTCAACCATAGTCCATGCTACACTCTGAAGTGGTGAGAAGGCAACCCCATGACTCTGTAATGAGGTACTTCAGCCACTCAGTGCAAAGGTGCTCGATGAGGTTGTCAAAAAGGGACAAGCTGTGCAAACTAGACCTACAATATGGTTGGCTCTTCGGACTATTATCCATTACATTTCCATTCTGTTGGCTACCAAGATTAACTGGACTGAGTTTGATTTAAGGTCAAACACCCAAATAATTCCTTAGTGTCCTATAAACTGTGCGCTATATCTTCATGGCTTTGTATGCAAAAGTAAACAGTGCCCCATTCTTTGTGCCATGGGGTACTGTATTGCTTGATGGTCTATCTCCTTAAAGAAATACATAATTTAAATACAAATAAATGTATGAGTGAAACCCGTATAGAATGATATTCATGGTAAACAAAATGAATAAAGAGGAGATGGGCAAAACAATTTAGATAATACCCAAAAGCAAAGCATCACAGCTAAATCAGGATTAACCCGTGAAGCATGATGTGTTTCATGAAATGACTTTGGTATAGTCTAAAAACTACGACTCAAATGAATTAAACAGAGCGGTATTGCATCAAGGGTGCTCCAGTGTTCATACCTACTGCCTATTAGAATGGACCTGCTCTTTTTTTCTTTTAATATTAAAATTATATAGATAATTATATTTGCATATATTTTATAGACAAAACATTTTAAAAATTATTTTGCATAAACCAATTTTATATTTTAGATACAAGTTATTTTAAGCAGCTTTAAACAGCTATATACCCAGCTCTACATGGCTTGCAAGACAATGAAGTCCCAGCATAAAAGCATGTTTGGGTGGTGAAGAACCCTAGCACTATATAAAATTGTGATGAAGGTGAAGCAGAGGTAGTGGTGGTATTCGGTGGTGTAGCCACTACCCTCATGGTGTAATTTAGAAACTGCCCACACTGGCCAGCTGTATGGGAGGGGTCACATCCTCTTGGTCCTGCCCAATTAATCATCCTCTGGTTTTCTTAGCCTCTGGTGCAAAAGGCAGACCCAGATGACTAATTCTGGCAATAGAGGCCCTACTTGTCAATGAGACCTCCCCTTGATAGAGGCATGATTTAGTTTTAATTTTCCTGCAGCCCATTCATTCATTTGAGGCTAATGGCTGACATGAATCATAGTGTTAGGAAGGAAAAGCTTGATTTTTACCAGCAGCCTAAAAAAGATGTCATGCCCACTAGGGATGGCAGGAACAGAGGGTGCAGCTTCTTAATGCTTTGACCACAGGGGAAGAGAAGAATTGGCAGAGCTTCTCCTCAAAACCCAGTAACTTCCCCCTGCTTATCTGGAGGGCATCATCTGCTGAGAGCACAGCCAAGGTGTAAGCAGAAGAAGATGTGTTATTTTGCAACAGATTCATGCGGGAGTCCCAAACTGATAAGGTGTTGATTACCGTGGCCCCAGTCAAGCACAGCCTTTATTTAACTTTACTAGTATGAGTGAGCTAATTGGCATCACTGGGCCTGTATGTATGCTTAAAAGTTATGGCTGTGTTAAAATGCTTTGGTGGGTCAGGGAATAATGGGTGTTCAGCACCTTGCAGGACATAGCCCTGGGAGCAAGCCTTGCTGTGACCTTCTGCAAAGTAAGGGGCGTGCGCCAAGGGCCTGATTTTGTTCAGCCTGGGGTTGCACTGCCCCGTGCACTCCACAGTTACATCATGCTGGGGATTGTCTAAACCATGAAACAACATGTTGTACCAGGGCAGCCAAAAATAACAATAAAATTAGCAGGAACCAGTCCAGCTGACTCTATGAGAAGCTGCAGAGTTTCAAAATTAATCTTAAATTTACCTCTAACCCTGAAAACAAAACTAATTGCAGAATGTAAGGCTCCCCGAACATGTTAGGGAACTTGATGGGAATACCTCAGAAAAAACACAAACACTTTAGATAAAGCCCCCATTTTAATTGTATCAATTCTGCCAATTAATGATAATGGAAGAGCAGTCCAATTAGCTAAATAGCTAATAGTTTTATCAAGCAGAGGCTGGCAATTTAAAGCAAACAAATTCTTTCTAATTTTATCCCCTTGCACACCAAGATGTTTAAAGGATAATGGGGGATCCAATAAAGGATATTGCTCAAATAGAGCTACATTTAAATCGCCTAATGGCTTTAAGAGTTTTACCCCAATTAACAAAGAAGAAACATGAACATTCAGTGACTTGCAGCATAATATCTAAAAATCTTCATTAAAAAATAACATTCTCCAACTAAGGGCAGAATGGAAAACATCACTGTCTTTTCTGTTAAAAACACTGATTTATCCCAAAGCAAAGGCTCCTCTGTAACAGCAAAAGTATCAGAGAAAAAGGACTCTCCTGTCTAAATCCCAGTATATAAATCATCTTCAAACTACGGTCATTAGTTTTAACATAACTGTGGATTTGAATAAAGGAGATTGACCTATCTAACATATTTAAAACCAAATCCTACTGTTACCTAAATCTGAAATAAGTTAAGGCTATTGAAGAGAATCAAAAGCCTTTTCAAAATCAATAGCCAGAACAAATTCCTCATGATCATAATTTTGAGGATAAAAAAAATCCATTAAAGTGATGTCTTTGATTGCTATTAATGAAGCAATCTGGAATAAATCCAGAGTGATCCATATGGATAATCGAATCTCTCACTTTCTCACATTTTACAGGGCTTAGATTTGGGGCCTGATTTATATGACAATGATAGGCAAAACGCTCCTTTCCTTTTGACACAAGGCTGCCCAGCCTGGACAGTCGATGGCACAGTCTCTAAAGGGAGCTAAAGGAGCAAGGCACTCAATGCTCACAGAAAGAAGAGCTCAAATAAATCATCTTGCAGCCTCTACCACAGATCCCCAAGTACCTCTCCTTCACTGCAGGTCTTGTGGAGGTTACTGTGGGCTGCAGAAACCACCAAAGTACTGTTAATTAACTGGCATAAACCTTCCTTCATGGTCCCCCCGCCATCACTCAGAGGTGCTTGGCACTCTCACTGCCCTGCCAGGCTCAAGCAGAGACAAGGATGTCACCCATGGGACAGAGGTGGCCTCCAGGAAAGCCCCAGGTAAAACCTTTGACTGGAGCCTAGCCAATTTTTGGGGAGAGGTAGAAGGACTTTTTCTTCACTGTTAAGCTCCTGTTTCCCCGGTTAAGCAAGAGATTCAGACTTCTCTCTCATTTTTTTGAAATAATGCCATGAACCCAGAGGCAACACTCCTCCTCAGTCCTGGAGCCACGTCCAGGTCACCTCACCCCAGGGTGGGGTTGGTGCCCTGCCATGGGACACACCCCAGGATCTTTACTGCGTTCCTCCTCTGCCATATTCTTTCCAGGCAGGGGACTCCAGCACTTCACCCCTCAGCACCAATTTTATGGCCTCCAGATACACCCTAACCAGTCTCTCCACCCACCAGCAGTGCCCCCCTTCCCTGCACGTCCTGCTGCCAGCCAGGCCACCTCCACAAGCCAGTCTGCTCTTCCAACCGCCCCTTGATTCTGCATCTTTTCTTCTCCCACCTGGCTGTTGTCTTTCCTGGTGCCTCAGTTTCTTCTTGCTAAGCTGACCACCCCTATTCTGGTTCCCTTGGAATGGCTGAAAAATTTGCTGGCAACAGATTTTGAAAATTTCAGCAGAAAACCACTAAGGCTAAAAAGGAATACATAGTTTCCATTTGTGACTTTGCTCTTTTGCTGCCTGTAACATCTCCCTACCCTAGGTGCCCACCTTCTTCACCTTCCCCTGAAGTCAGAGTTGCCTGTGGTCTGGAAACTGTCACATCCTGAAAAATGCTCCTGGCCCCATGCCACAAGGCCAGGACTTGGCCCCAGTCTTTGAGCAACACTGTTTCAGTCAGAATTCAATAAAGTGCTTGTATTATATGAACCTGGTAGGAATCGATTTTTATTTGAAACCAAATTCTAGGTTTCAAGCAAGAACAAAAAAGTTAGACATCAGGTCAATACGCTTTGTATGGGTATCACACTAGGTCAGAAAGATTCTGAACTTTCACCTTTATTATAACCCTAAATTATCTTTGAGTCAAATTTAATTTCACAGGTGTAACAGCTCCTTTTCCTTCTAATCTACTGACTGCACATTGAAGGTGAAAGCTCAGGAGTTTGGTTTTTTTATATCTTTTTATCCAAAGCAGATGCAAAAAGGTGTTTAGAAGGCTGATCTATAAGTAAGGAATAGTTACTAACAGAACCATCTGCCTCTCCAACAGCTGAAATGATATATAAATGCTTTCACTCTGACTTCACACCCAGCCGATCGTCTCCTGTTGCTCCCAGCCCTGTGACTCTTTTCTGCATTTAGTTGCCACTAAAACCTATGCAACTCCGAGCTGACTTCTGCTACAAGTGCTGCTTCTACCATGTCAACCAACCTAATGGATCCATGTCTCAGAGGTGGCTCTTTGTAAAAGGGTGTCCTTGGGTAACCAGGGTTGCTTTTCCATATGACAGTGCAATTAGGATAGAAGCTGTCTCCTTTCTATCTTTACTAAAAATGATGCAAACATGAAAACCTAAGACCAAACACACTAGGTTGAACAAAAATCCAACTATGCCAATATTTTTTGCCTGTTAATTACCATTAGTGGATGCTCAGAAGTAGAAGTGTAAGAACAGGTCAGTAAGAAGGAAGTGTAGGAACAGGCTGGGGTTTTGCCGGTGTTGTGTACCCTCCAAGGAATCTGTGGCTTACACAATCTTGTCCAGACCTGCTGTTAGCTGGTGGGGTTACCAAAATCTTCAAGCTAGACTAGAGGCCAGCAGCTGACAATTCTTGAGAATATATAGAGATTGCTGTTATCATTCTAGAGTACAAATAATTTTTTTTCTACTTTTTAGAGGTCTGAAATTATACCTGCAACTCACCTAAATGGATCGCATTTCTTCTTCATTGCCCACAGCACCAAACAGTTTTCCTCAAATCTTTTAATGGGCTTGAATCTGAGAGGTGAAAGCAGATGCTTTACCATGAGCTTTCTGGAACTTGTGCAGACACAGTAGCTCTGGAAACACCTGTGAAATGTTAAAAGGATTGTTAGGTAAATTGGGAGAATTCAAGGAACCTGAACCAGCACTGGCAACATCAACATTCTCTACTGGTTATGAGAGAGAACAACTATTCACTACCAATATTTGCACTTGCAGATGGGTGTTTCTAAAAGTGTTAAGCTGTGGCACTTGTAGGATGATGATTGTGGAGCAGGCTCCAGTCTGGGGCTTGCCAGTCTCAACACAGCCCAGCCAGATGACAATCTACAATGACCACAGAGCAGCTCCTATGTAAGCTAAATATCTCATCTAATTTAAGGGGTATACTTAGGCAAATATTTGGCAGATTCAGTAGGGAAATTTCACCTAGAAAGTAAAGTGTCTTTCACTTGTACAGAGGCAGTGCCTAAGACAGAAGGAGCAGAGAATGGAGAAAGTATATAGGAGCATTCAGGGCAGAGTGAATCAGCCTGCTGAGCCTGCCTATCATGACCCTAACATAGAAGAACTCTTTCACCATGAAGTAAAGCTATCAAAAGTAAGAGGATTTCTTTGCAGCTAGCCAGCCAGGGTAAAAGAAGGGATAGATGAAGTTTTTTCCCAATGTTATTAAGTGTCTCTGCTGACAATACTAATGGGCAACATAGCAAATCACAGTCACAGCATTTTCTTTAAACACCTCTGTCACTAGTAAGCTCAGGAACACTAACTGAAAAATCAAATGCAGTTATGAATTCCATTAGCTTTTTTGAAACCAAAGGAAATTTACCACCAGAGTAGAACAAATTCTGCTCCTAGTTACAGTTATGTAATTCCAGGAAAGCTGACAGAGTACTACTAACAGGTACATGAAGAATCTGCTCTGAGTTTCTGGAATGCACGTTAGGCTGTGCTGAACAGATCTCACTACACTGAGTAAGAGCTAGGGCGAGAGAGAGACCTTTTATGATGTTCTACCCATTAAAAATAAACCTGAACACACAGTTTATTTTTATAAATGTATGTGTTACCTGAAGAATAGTTGCACACGCTCATTTGCATAGGATTTGGTATACATCTGTGCTCTTCAATAGATTATTCCAAACCTTGAGTATTTCATATAATTAATGTCAATATGCTTGGCTTATTTGTTATAAAAGAAAAACATTTCTAATTATTCCTTTTGCTGTGTAAAACTTCAGTATTTCTCCCTAGTGCTTTCCAAATCAGGTTCCTTTTTTTACATTCCTGCACAGAGAGAGAATGTGAGGCTTATGCACCACTTAAGTATTATTCTGAAGATAGTTTAAATTGCGTATAAGTGATAACTAGGCCTTGAGCTGGCCCTCAACATGGGGTGAGGTTCACCTACTATGAGCAATGTTAGAAGTCCACGTAGTATAAATTGGCCTTGTGACAAGTCAAACATTCAAATTTCCTGTGAAATTCAACCAACACTTTGCATATTTCCATTTATTATAGTGACACATAGAATCTACTTTTCAACCAAAGCAAACTCTACTTGCCTTCACTGAACCTCTAGAGAGTCTTTGGGAATAACAAAACCTTCACAGCAGTGATGTTCAGAGGTGTATCACAACACGCCAGGGACACAAGTAAATCTCAAGCAGTAAAAGGGAGTACAACTATGGTGAGCTGCCTAGATGAAGCAATAATGAAGGTCAAGGTGAGCACTTTTTTGTACACTGCAGAAAGGCCAGACAAATTAAGAAGTTTTTGCCAAGATAAAGGACTGGTCCTGTCAGCAGCAAGTAACGGGAGGGTGGAAAACTGAGTGTACAGACTCCCGTCTCTTACCACTTACCCCTCTTTTTCTGGGGAGAAACTTGGCACTGAATTTACATTTAAGTAAAACCATGGTACAAGACTGATCAGATGCCTGCTGGAAGCAATGGGAATATTTTCCCTTTGCTTTAGGTCTTGGATTAACCTCTAAATGAGATCAGAGCTAGACCTGATCTGTGGAGGCATACAGGAAAAAGAAACTGTGCTTCTCTATTAAATTGGACAAGCAAAGTGCTTTACTGAATGCTGAAATAAGATGTGAGATCCCATGACAAGCTCAGGTTGTTTTTCTTTCCCATGTAGCTCTCATTTTACACAAAGAAGTTTATTTCCCATATCATGGGGCCCTTGATCCTGAGCAATAAATATAGTATCTTCCCTAGAAGCATGAAGGCCCTGTTTTATAGCCTTGGCAAGAGACATCTTGCCAAGTACATCGGCCTTGTTGGTTGATTAGTTAATTCAAACAAGAATAGCAAATCCCGAAAACTTTGGCCAAATTAATGTCTTTTTGGCTGCCCCAGTGAGCTAACATTGTTGTGGGAACCTGGAAGCAGTAAAGTCTTTGATGATTTATTTAGTAGGAATCATCTAGTAGCTAATTGTCTGCAATTTTTAACCTCATTCATGTTCTCTGCTGATTCTTCTTCCAGCATCTGTAGTTTTCTCCTTAAGCTTTCTTAAGTCTCTGTATGTAACACTTCCAGACGGCAGTTCAACTTTATCACAAATATTTTTATGAACTTGCCAAACCACATCCAAAATCCTCAGACTCAAAAGTAAAAGATAAAATCATTCTCAGAAGGCACCTCACCCTTCTCCACCCAGGCACATGAAAAAACCCCAGCTTTAGGCTCCGACATTTTACATTTGTAATGAGTCACAGCTTAGTGTTTTGGCTTTTTTTGGTATTGGAATTTTCACCTTTCCATTCTTCTCCTGGATTTTTCACCTTGGATCCTTATCAAAAGAGAGAAAATGCTGGTAAGCCATGTCCTTTTCTGTCTGTACTGCAGATCTTACTATCTCTGTAGTGCTGGCCCCAGTGAAGTACATGCCTGTCAGTCACTGCATATATACCTACCATAGGAAGAATGAGTGATGACTAGGCAGGGAGGTTTTGGCCGGGAGTGCAGAAGACTTTTGCACCATATTGGCAGTAAGTCTTAGCAGAGATCAGAGTTAACTAAAATGCTCACAACATTCGATGGCTGTACCCTAGATCTTCCTGGGTAAGTTCAAAGAAGAATCTGATTTACTGTGTGGTTCTGCTTCCACCACTGTTTAAGGATGGTTCTGATGTCTGTTAAGCCATAAAAATATAACCGTTCCAGTCAGATTTCTGGTTAATCCCATGTGATTCTTCATGAGAGAGAAAGTTCTTCCTGTTCATTTTCTGTATTCAATTATTCTGGTGCATGATTCAGCAATTGTCACGTGTCTGTTTTGGGGTGGCTTCATGCCACAAGTGGATGAAGGGCTCTTTATGCCTGGTTTCTGTCTCCTATTTGTATGTTTATGAAGAAGCCTGGGTCCCTTGTGAGATGGAAGATACTCTATTTGGGCAATATTATCACCATCATCTACTATGATCCATGCCTCCGGGAAGATATTTTTAAAAAGAATAAGCTCTATTTTGCTAATGTAGCCATTGTTTAAATGTAAAATGTAATTAGAGTACCCACCCAGGGTGTATGTTGCTGTGTAATTTTATAATACTATGTCTAGATGAGTGTTGGCATTCTACCTATGTACTTAACCACACCCAGGAATGCTGGTATTACACAATTACACACATCCTGTTGACTAATTACATAATAATTAGTATTTTTAATATTCAAAGATGGACTGAAATCACTTATGCAAGATTTTATGTCACTGCATATTGAAACCAAAACATTAACAAATATATTTAGTGAACAATGGTGTTCAGATAGGTTACTGAGCATGGACTTGTCTTCCAGCAGACAACAGATAATACTTCATACATTTTAAACACATTTGGCAGACCCTCCCTCCCCCACTGTTACTTTGAGTTACACCTGCTTTATAAAACTGTTAAAGTAACTATGTATTCAACACAGAATTTCTGTAGTCTACCTACTTCTGAGTTGTGATCACTTAACATGACAGAGATAATTTTTGACTGAAAAAGCACTGTGACATGCCGGGGGAAGGAAGACTGCTCTTTACAATGACAATTCTGGAAGGAATCTGGAAAATGCACTTTAACTTAGCGATTACCTACAAAAATATCCCAAATACAGTGGTTTTAAGAAAGTGCTACGGATGAGCCTGAGCCAGTTGGATTTGGAACAGATTTTCCACAAGCTTGAGTGGGGTGTCTTGATCTGGACTCTCAGTTCTCATGATGGACATGACAGGCCAGATGCAAAGTCTGGCTCACCATTTGGATTTGGGGGCTTTAAGATCACAGACTTTTTGTTGCAATCATGTCTTACATGTACTTAAAAAATTGTTTATGTAAGATAACTTCTAAGCTTGTTGTTAATCTTAATTCAGTCAAAATGCACAACAGAAGGCACAGCAGCGAAGCCCTGGGTCTTGCCCAGGGCATAGTTTTATTAGCTGCTATGCATCAAGTGGATTTTATATGATGTTTCAGTGGTGTTTCTGACCTGCCATTTTTAGTTTCCCTGGAGTCATCAGTTGTGCACATATACCTTTATGATGGAAAAGATAGAAAATATGGACTGTGTTCCCACCTCTAACTATGCATTTCTCAGGCAACAGCAAAGAGCAACTAACATTTTGCACATAATTTCATTTTTTTTCTCTTCATTAATTTGATTTTTACCTTTTCAGTTACAGTGGCAGCAAATGATTTTTCAAGGCCTTGAGAACAAATCACTGCCCAGGAGTTTCTTATTGGACTGTTTCTCTTTTCATGGGGCAAGAGGTTATAGTGCAAGACCAGCTTCTTTACTGAAAAGTAACTTTTTGCTGCCCTGGTAAGTTAAAAATTGGCATTTAAGTCTAAACATTTGCTCCTGCCATGCAGTTATTTTTTAGCAAACCAACACTTCTATAAAAGCAAACTGAGGCTGTTTGGGAGGAGCAGGATATGACTGCTGAAGTAAGCAATACTGCTCAGTTCAGGGACACACGCAAGGTAGCTTCACAACTGCCCCCTCCCCAAAGCCTCAGCAACCCCTTTTCTCTACCCTAAATATCAGCAATAAAGTCAGTACAGTACTGCACTTCTCTGCATCTGGAAGACACTTAGAAAGAGGCCAGCTTTTTGAATTTGTAAGCAGGGCTTCTGTTACTTCTAAAGGTTCTTCTTTTATGTTTACTGCTCTCTTACCTGGTGTGTTTCACCCATGACTCTGGTTGGTCAAATCCCTCTTTTCCCTTCTTTCCTAAAGAAAAACAAAGCCACAATGATCTTACACGCTTTACTATTTCCCTCCAACAGAAATACTGTGCCTAATTTGCATATATGATGAACGGTATTTCATTAATGACAATAATCCAAAACAAAAAATTGCACCTGGCTGACAACATAAGGCCAACTTGCTTCATGATGTGATTTTAAATGGCTGAGATATTAAAACACTGAAAAACGGGGTTTATAATGGAAATACTGACAGACTATTAACTATAGCGGTGCTGCTCTAATAAATGGAATAGTCTGTTGTAATCTCTAGTTCATAAATATGCAAATACAAGGCAGAGGATTTGCTCCAAAGGATGTCTCTATAACATTAACTGACCTTTGCTGATACTAAATGAGCCTGTTGCTTCTGGTTTGGAACATTAAATAGAAAGTACAGGGAATCCTGTCTCTCTGCATTCAAGGCCCACTTCAGCTCCCATCAGCACCAACAGCAAAATGCTCACTACTTTCAACAGGAAAAAATCTGGCCCCAGAACATCTAGCATGTGAGAAGCTTGGAATTAAACTGAACTCCTGACTGTACTTGATTTTAATTCTGTTCTCATCTGTGTTAATTATTATTATATTAATTCTTCGGTTTGGGAGAAATTAAGCACACATTTGCCCCATGTGTCAAAGAGCTTGACCTGCCAAAAGGCACTCACTTGTTCAGTGATAAACAGACCATCAACACAATGATATAAATGTTGAATTTTAGCCAGTTTCCTGCTCTGGACCAAATGGAGGTAAATCCACTGACTTAATATTTAATAACCTAAATGTAATTTCTTTTTTGTGCCTCGCATTGCACAGTAAAGAATTGGATGGCTAGCAGTTTTGCAGATTCCCAACCCCTAATTATTTTAAGCTATTCATCCTGGTATCTGTCCATTGATGCTCAGCCAAATTGCCAGCAGGGGAGAGATCTGTCCAATCCAGGAGCTAAATGAGTCACTGAGAGTCAATCTGTTTTTTTCCCTTGCTGCTGGGATTTCCTTGGGTCCTGGCCTCTCTCTGCTCCAATCACACACACACAGCTCCAGGCATGGGTCCTCTTTGGCTTCAGCTGCCTCCTGTCTCCCCATGTCTGCTCTGCTCATCACAGCTGTTGATGGGTTCTTGCCGGCTGGCCACAGAAGACCAATACTTTCATCACACTGCTCTTACAGATCTTGCTCTGAAGGAAAATGAAGACATCTTGGCCTTGTTGAATTTGCTGCTGAAGTAATACATCAGGTATCTAGATGGAAAGCTAACCACATGAATAAAATGTGTCATCTGGGTTAGATACTAATTTATTTGCCTTAAGTTCTGGGAACAATATTTGCACTTTTTTTCAGAGAACTCAGTTAAGTTCCACAGAAACTGAATACTAATATGATTTATGCAGCATGGAAAACAAATATGAAACAGAGAAAAAATAGACTAATCAGAAATATTAGCTGCTAAGAAATACTAGTATCTGACAATGCTGCAAATACAATTCATAAACAAGAACATTTAGAGTCTAACTATTCACCAAAAAGCAAATTCCTTGCTTCCTCCCTTTTAGGGTCAGGATTCAATTACAGAAAAATATGCAGTGGACTTAAGGAGTGCATGTAAGATTAAGATAACTGGTATTTCATGGTAAATGATTAAATTAGCTGACACAGTTTTATCCTGAACTTTGCCATTAAAAATGACATTTTTGTGCCATGCACATTGTAGGCTGCTGGTAATCTAAACTGCCTTTCTTCTTTCAAAGCCTTTAAACAGCTGAAGAACTCTTGTTCTTTACTCTACTTGCAAATGTGTGGAAAATATATCTACAGCATAACAAGATGAACTAAGCACCGAACTTTTTTTTTTTTCCTTGTCTATCATACAAATACCCTAAGAAAACAGCAAGGAAGTTCCAAATGCCCAGATTCAGCTCTGCGACATGCACTTTAATCAAGTCATTTATGTGACTCCACAGAGATGAGAACACGCTGTCCTCATGGTGAGTAAATATAAAGAAATGACAGAAGCCTCTTACTAAAAGTTTAATTATTCTTAGTACACAATTCTAAACTACTGTATGTTTGTTCCTCTTCAGGCTTGCTTTTTTATGATGACAGGGAGTTACGGAAGTAATTTTGATAGAAAACTGAGTTAGGACTGGATGGATGAATTGTTATCAGAGCTGGTGGTTGTAGTCACTACCCTTTAGTTGAGCTATCTGGGAAGGAGCAGCTCAACTCCTCTATGAAGATACTTGGCCTCCAAAGCAAAGTGCAGACACCTATTATTGCACACAGCAAAAGCAAGGCCAGTCCGACCAGAGACTTAAACTATGAGAGAAACGTATCTTCTAAGTATTGCACTGAGAGACCACCAGAGCTGGGTGGGAAGTAAAGCCACGGAAGCACTGCAGAAATGAAGAAAGGTGGCAGGACATGCAGACAGTGCATCCCTAGGAGAGGCCAAGGGTGAGCATAAGGAATGGGCTTTGGCTGAAAGAGGTCTCACAGGCAAGGGGATAAAATTCTTCTATTCTTATAGTTTGACTTGTCCTGTGGGCAGAAAAACAGATCTTTGTCCTTTTTTTTTGTGAATACATGGAGTTACATAAAAGTAGTATATAACTCTCACCAACAATTTCTCCTCATAATTAGAATAACTTAGAATATCTCAAATTTTTGGCTAGCTATGAAGTTCAAAAGAATTAGATCTGACAATACAAAAGCACAAGGACTGTAATACTGGTCCAGAACAGTGGTCCAGCATGTCCAGTCTTTTACAGTCAGGAACCTTATGCGCTTGTGAAAGTGATACAATAGGAATGACAATTATTATAGAATAATCTACCTGAATGGGACACCTTAATTCCCCACTCACAGGCTCCGGAGTTGAAGCTCTGTGAAGAAATCATGCATGCACCATATTGTACTTCTTTCTGTGCACTGGCACAAAGATAAGAAAAATCTCCAAGCATTGTCTACACAATTTGGAGGGGTAAAGACATGTTAATGTACTTTGTTTTTTAGTAACCAAGGTCTCTGCTGAAAGAGGTAGTGGAAGCTCAATAGACACCAAAGAAATTGTGGTTTTTATTCTAGAAGAGAATTTGGCACTTTATTCTTAGTGCAGACTTACCAGAGGTGTGTGCATAACAAGAATGCTACGACAAAGCTTCTGGATTCCTTGTTATTCATAAACAGTTGAGCAAGGTTTTGGACTCTCATATCGTGGATCTTCTATCAGTTCTAATAAAGAAGAAGAAACACAGCTTTTTACACAGCACCTTCCCCAAGTTAAAAATTGCAGCTATACAACACTCATACAGTCACACCACTATCATCAAAGGATGAATTTCAGTGAAAAGAAATGTCTACAAAGACAGTTTCATTGTTTGAGAACTCATACAAATGCTGAACAATGAAACTCAATCTGATTATCAAAAAATCAAACCGGTATTACCATCTCACAAACTCTGTTATTCAATTAAAACTTCTCAGCTCTCCTATATAATTTCTTGGCTTATATACATTGTGCAAAAGATATAGCTACTTTTACTTCTCTTTGTACATTTTAAACTTTGAAAACCTTTCACAGCAGAGGTTATATGAATCATCCAGCTTTTCCTATTCCAAAATGTTTCACTGATCATTCATTATTAACTGAGTAAAATTAAGATAGCTATGATAAATTTTGATATATCACAAAGTATTAGAAAGGATATGAAAACATCTTGTTCATAGTACTAACTTTTAGATGACATATGAGGGTACAACCCCAGTTTTTTTCACTGTCACATATAATAAGACTCTTAACCCAATCACTTATTACCACATTTTTTCTCACTCCTAGGCACTAATAGTTTTAGCCTGATCTGCCATTTAGCAGAAAAGCATTCAAACAATATAACCATGAAGGGACTGGATGTTGGTGACAGGAAGGTTGTCGATGTCAGAGATTAGGATCCTAACTAATGTCTAGGTTTTTTCCCAATTAATATATGTTCTCTGAACAGTGAATGCTCTGGAAAGAGAATAAGAAGTCTGTGTCCGCTCAGATCTAAGAGTGACGTTTTTCAACAGATCTCAGTAACTGGTGCTCTTTTGCTAAATATACTGCAATGTAACTGTACACAGAACTTGAAAATACCATGAGAAAACAGTACTTTCCAAGTGGCTCAACACGGGAATGAAACACAACCTATAGAGGAACCATGCTATATCCAGAAAAAAGAAGGAACTGGCTCATTTTAGTGAGTCAGGATCCTGGATACATCTTGCTGCTTTCACTATCCAGACAGTTGCCTAGACTGAAGTTAGCAGGACCATTTGAGATGTACTCCACAACTGAATATAACTGGAAAAAGCAGTTATACTATTTTATTCATTTACCTCTTAAAATGCTTTCAGTTTCATTACAGCACCCCTCAGCTTTGGTTCTCCAGGGTCAGAGAGGCACAGGCCATGTGTGAGGGAAACAGATAGGGACAGAAGTTGTGCAAAGCTGGTCATGGACTTAATAAGGGCTTGATTCTGTACCAGTGAAATCAATGGGAGTTTGGCTTATGTCTGCAGTGGGAAGTGGATCAATGCTTTATGCCAGCTGTTCTCTGATGGGTAGGGATAATCCCTCTGAAACAAAATATTTAACTTGTTCTCACCCTGTTGTTGTAAGAAGGCTTCCCATGATAATGCTTTCATCAAAATTAAAAGGTGCGTCCCATTTTTTCTTACAAATACCCCCCATTCCTTTAGTATATATTTGCCAATCCAAGAAAAAAAAAAAAAGAGAAACCTGCTACTAACCATGTGGGTTTACAAAAAATGCCAAAGCAACAAGTTACAGGGTGGATCATCTGTTTGTTCTGCTGGTCGTGAGAGCATTTCTTGCAGCTTCCTCAGCCAGAAGATGCAGCAAGGAGGCATGTTAATTCAAACAGCTGTAACTGAGGTGGGATCCCATGGGCCTACAGGACCATGAGGTCCCTGTAGGCTAATAAGATGATAGAAAAAATAAACTGCCAACAGTCATGAAGGGAGTCATGAAGAACAGAGTGTGGGAATAGTATCAGAGAGACAGGAGCTAATGGAGGACAGTATTAACAATAAAATCAGATATATGTGTCCTGCAGTCTGGATTTGAGTACAGCATTTAGTCTCAGTTGCTGTTTCTGTGTTTTGTTTCAATATTTTACAGGGGAAATGAGGTTCTGAAACATGGCTGAAGCTGCCCATGTTGCTCTACAGATCAGCAGCACACTGTGGCTACTTCTAGCCCCTGCATGTGTTAGTCACGTTTAAAAACAGTGTGAAAGTTGGGCCAATTTACCCCAGCTTTCTCTTTGGTTCACTCCCTCTCGCCCCTCTGGCTGAGATCCATTTGGCTAACAGACATGGAACATAAAGTCTGCTAAGTTTTATAAAGCAATTATTTAATTTTAAAAGTCTCTTCCGCTGCATTCTAATGAGATTTCCATAAAATACAGAGTCATCCACGTCCTCCTGGGAACTTCTGTTTACTCCATAAACCATAACACTTTTTGAAAAGCTCTAGAAGACTTCACGAGAGTAAACTTCCAGAGATGGAGTTGTTTGGTCTCGCAACTGGGAACTGAGTTTTCAATATGGTTATGTCCTCCAGAAGCAGAAAACGTATGGAATTGTTTGAGCTTAAGAGACTGTGACATTTTTATAGAATGAAAGGAGGAACTGAGAGATACAATGACAGAGCTGGGAGCTGCATCTGGCTGGCTGTTCCACGGAGTATTCTCCTTATAGAATTTTATGGCTCTCCTAGCCTGAATATTAAACACTTGACCTTTTTGTCAAATACTATTTTAGATTATTAGGTTGGATGATTAGCTACTAAATATACCATCTATAGTAAATAGGAAATTGTGTAGTCCGATGCTTCAGTCTCAGACCTTTCAGGTATTGCTCCCTTGGCATTTAACATTAGAACATTGAGTCCCCTTATATTAACTTAAGTCACTTGGTAAGCAGTAAGTGCACAGCATTTTCACACATAATATAGGGATTTCTGAGGTAGCACTACTAGAATGGGGATGTCTTCTTTTCCTTGCCTTCCCCCACTAAACTGATAGCTTTAAGAAGAATGCTGTAGACATTGTGAAGTCAAGTATAACTAGGAACCAGCTCATGCCAAACAATACAACTCAGTATACTGCCTACAAATAAGCACATTTACCTTTTAAAGCTCTGTAAACCAGCACTTTGCAAATGACTCTGCCCTGTGCCTCTCTCCCCAGTGAACTCTTCCATTCATCCTCTCCACTCCTCGGTACAATGTCCCCATGTTGGAAGCAGAATTAATAGTTTGCTTTTTCGCCTCTCCCTCCCAGCACCTTCATACCCCCTTTTGGGAAACCCTGCTGTAAACTTAACCCCTCCCTCCCATAAATCCCACCTCAAATATTTGGATTTAAAGGTATGTGGTTACAGACAGCATGACCCTGAACTTGTGAATATTTATAATAGTTTTGGAAGACAAGAAAGACCAAAATTCTTCCTGAAACTTAAAATGGTTTTAATAGGAATAAAACAAAATGCTAGTGCAGAAACATCTATCACTTAGAGGACAAGCTGTATGAAAAAGAAAAAAGCCTTATTAGTAAGCACTGTGGAGCACATTTAGAAGAGCACCCCATGGAGTCCATGTAACATATTTATAGTGTACAAATTCAGCTTGGACATAGATGTAAGATTTGGGTAACTGATTCCTCACTACCAGCAAGTGACGGAACTGCTTTATTTTTCAGCATACTGGATCTGGTTCTGATCTCAGTCCTGAAATGTAAGATTGGTACAGCTCCAGTCATTTCAGGAGATTCATTCCTGTCTGACACCAAGGTTACAGTTGGTCTATTATGTTTAATAAAACCAGCTGCTTTAAATCCTAGCATAGATTTCCTCTTTGTTATTACAGGATGGTACTTGTTAGCCAAGCAAAACCCGGGGACTCACCCGTTTATGTGAGCAGTAAAAGAACAGACTAGACTACAGGATTGGGCCTCAAATTCACAGAGCTGTAATTATATTTTCTTTGATTATGTACTAGTGTGATGGAGGCAGCCTATGCACAAGCCAGATAACACTACCCTTCTTCCTGCAGTTTAATTTCTTGGTAATTAAAACGGGTGTGTTTGAGAACAACAAGAATTAGGAAAAAAACACTTAAAAGCTCAGCCCTTTTAAAATCACCGTGACTGAATGGTTAATGAACAGTGACTCTTAGCTAGGAGTACCACAATGCTCCTATAACTGTTGTATACTTTTGCCTTTAATAATAATAATAATAAAAAAAAAATATTACTGAAGGATAGATTACTGGAGATACTCTGCTGCAGTTAAAGGATGGTTATTTAACAAACAATTACTTCCAAAATAAACTGCTGAAAACCTGCTGTGCTCCAGCATTTGCCAAACTGAGTTCCTCCTGTCTCCCCTTTTTCCAGATGCCCTCCGTGTTGCTTACTTTACCTCTTGGAACATGCAAGTGCAGTGACATGTTATGAGGTGAGGCTTAGGGCAGTTCCTAGTCATTGCTTCCAGAACTGGAAAGATCTGGGATTGCTCTGCAGTCCCAAACAACAGCAACCAGCAAAGGTGGAGCTGCAGCAGCTGAGAATTTGCTCCCCAGGCATCATACAGATACTTGCTGATCCCAGAAAGTCACAGAACAAGAAAGCCTGGTTGCAGGCACAGCAATCCCACCTGTTAGGTGTTGCATTACAGAAGTGTATGTTGGAAGACTTGGTCGCTCAATCCTTGTTTACAAGATATGTCTGTACAGCACAGGGCAACACTGAGAAAGCTTTTCTGGCCTAATCACAAGAACCAGCACGTGCCTGTTGATCTCAGTGCTCTCCTCCCAGCTGTTACACCCAATTCATTGAACCCACCTGCTACAGCTACCTTTACACCTCAAAGAAGCTTACAGCTGCCCTAGATAGAGATGTAAACTTCTAAAATCCATAGGCAAAGTGGTGATTGATTCAAATGCCCTTTTATATATATATATCTTGATGCAAGCATAGTCAGTCTTTGCCCACGTTCAGCTCCCATATAAGTAGGTGCAAAAATGGGCATGAAGCAGGAAAAGCAGTTAAAAGACAAAGTAAAATAGTTCTGCCACATATAAGATCTTTAATAGTACTTTTTATTGCTGCCACTCCAACCCTTTTGTCTAACCTATTCATAGAATCATATAAGCATTTAGGTTGGAAACA